ATACCAAGCTACAAGAAATCTATATTGACAAAAAAAAACATGTGTAATTATTATATATGTGTTTATTGCTCTAAATTAAATTATATTTTGTGATCCAATTATTATTTCTTGCAGGAGTATAAGAATTTTCTTTCACGTCAAAATTTAATATTTGTCATGTGAAAGCAAGTAGCTAGAGATATTGACACATATATTAATTAAGCATTTCACATTGGCCAATGTGTATTTTTAATATTTTTTGTATAAAAATATAAATTAATTAAAGAATAAATTAATATCTTGTTGAAAATAATGCAAGGAAAGTCCTTGTCTGGGGTTTGAAAATTATGATGTATTCTATGACCCCTACTAAAAATATTATTTTTGTATTCAATTTTTTTTATTGAAAAATATTTTAAAGCTATTTTGATTGAATCATTAAAAAAGAAAACACTATAATTTTTTGACAAACAAAAAAATCAAATAACATTTCAATAATATTTCAAAAGACTTTTTTACAAAGATAAAAGAAATATATAGTTTTCACAACATGTGTTTATGTGTATAAGATTAGTATTTTATTTGGTACGATAGAAAATATTTTTCTCATTTATTTTTTAGTGTTGGTAATATATTTTCTTACTTTCATTAATATCTTTTTTTTTTATTTTAGAAATATTTCTCAGAACAATTGAACCAAATTATATATAAAAAAATTTAAAAAATATTTTCTAAAAAATCTTACGTTTTAAAATGAGATTGTATTTATTCATGTGAAAAACTATTTGTCTATCCTATTCTATTACTCGTCATTATCTTGTCCTATTGTCATCCCTATTACTGATACGTCGTGAAGTTAACTAATTATTTTCAACCAAACCATTAATCGTCTAATTTAGTAAGTTTTTTCTTAGTGTTTGTTGACTTTTTTGACAACTTCAATACTAAGTATTATTATTAGTTAGAAAGTACGTAATGTAGTCCAACTAAAACAAAGAAAAAAAATACATATCTATGCAAGCATGGTGGACTAATTAGAAAATAAAATAAAATAAAAAAAGGTGCATTTTTTGTTCTTTTCTCTTATTCACTACAATAAAAAAATAATAATTAATTGTCACGAATAAAATTTTATAATAATTCATGGTTAAATAAGATCAACGATGAATTTATTGTGTGATTAAAAAAATTTGTCTGTCACTAATTATTTTTTCTCATGGTGTTTTTTTTTTTCTATTTACTTTCGCTTATGATTTTACTCTATTTCTCTTTAAAAAATCAGAAAAAAATAAAATGAATACAGAATTTCTTATTAATTTATTTTTAATCTATTGTTTTATTTTTTTGTTGAAAAATATGGTAGGTATAGTTTCAACCAAAAATTAATAAGCTGGATATTGTTGATGGATTTGTTTTGAATAACAACTCATACTGTTGACAAGAAGACCATTGCTTAATTACTTATTGGAGTTGTCTTCTTCATATATTCTTAATTTTATTTTATTTCCTTTCT